TCTCAACTTGTGGTCCAGTCAGCACACAGCTACGGCCCATGAGACGTCTTCAGGGCCATACAGGTAGTATTGGACGCAGCCTACAATAGTAAATAGGTTGAGAACCACTACTCTAAAGAGTAGTCATTGAGGTCTAGTGCAAGAATTTAGAGCCTTCTGGTTTCATGACAGATCAGGTTTTCCCACTGAGCTTCTGGTGGAGCAGTCATGCCTGCCTGTTCATAGCTCTGTCCTCTCCTGGATGTCAGAAAGTTGAAGGCAATAGTGGAAAAATGAAGTCATCTTTCTTCCAAATCTATTTCCATCATTCCTTCCCTGTTTGTTATTTTCAGCAATCTTATTGTTCCTGACCCACAAGATCAAGTACTATCACTTTTGTCTTCTCTTTTCTTCTCAAACTGAGACACCAAATCATATTTTTCTCCTCTCCATTTCCATCACTAAACCCTTTTATCATTTCACACCTCATTTATCTATCTAGGTTATTAAAACAGTATCTCAGTGCTTCCCAAAGAGTGAATAACCATTTTCAAAATAGTTCAGCTCTAATTTTCTCTCCATTTCCCCCATACCAGCCTGGGCTATTCTTCCCCATCATCCTCATATATTAGTTTTCTCTCCTACCCTCTCTCACACTGTCCTCCTTGCCTTCGCCTCTATTTATTCATTCTTTCTTGCTACTATTAGTTGTGCAACACTAAACTGAGGTATGAATTTCACACTTCCTTCCAAAGGTCATTCTAATTTCCTCCAGCCATGTGTTCCAAAGCCTTGGCCCTTTCCGAGAACATCCTGAATTTTACCCTTGAGGATGACAATTTCATAGGTCTGGAGTAATGAAGCTGAGAGGTCAGTCACAGAAAGTCTCTGAGACACTCAGGGCCACTTTTTTATGGAGGGCCTTGCAAGATGGGACAGACTGAAACCGATTGTTTATTCTGAAAGGAACAGTGATTTGAGCACTGAGGTGATGTGCTATCAGTGGCTGGTGTTGGTGAGCAGGCACGCTGCTGCATTCCGGTATAAAGGGTTTGTTTTTAAATTCTGCATATTCATAATAAGGAAAAATGAATTGCACTAATCCAACCTGAAGATCAAGAGGACATGGCTCATGAAATAATCCAAGGGGAGAGGGTATAGCCTTTTTGCTAATTTCATGCAGATGTTGTTTTGAAATGTAAAACAATAGGAGGGTGTGTTTTTGCAGCTATAGCTATTTAAGCATCCAACTGCATTCAGAAATCCCAAAAGGCCTCACGGTCATGCAATGTTTTCACAATCTGGGGCTAACTTTCGATACAATACAATGAAAGGAGAGAGTTAGCCCTTTGAAATATTTCCTTCTTTTTACCTTTACCCAACTTTAAACACCTGTCATTCATCCAAGTGCTGAAATGGTGATATTTGTACTAGAATTAAGATGAGATGAAGCTGGCTATTCCTGTTATGACAGATTAACTCAATTTCCACAATAACTCATCTAGGTATTAAAATGCATTGAGGAGAAAATTCACAGCTGAGCATATGGAGGTGGAGGAACAGCTACCTATCACCACTCTGGGAGGATCCTGAAAGAAACATGGAGCGAGCCATTTTGATGCTTTCCTGTTAATCCTGATAACATTGCTGAGGCAGATAGTATGCCATAGCTGTATGGTATCATATACCACAGACAGATTTACAGGTATGAATATGGGCCTTCTCATCAGTGGAAATATCCCAACAGCATTGCCATGCTGTCTCCATTCCAAGACCTGGCCTGAAACCTGACTGGAGAAGATCAGGATATCATCAGTGGATGGGTGCAAACTCATTCTCTCTAGTCTAGTGACTCTCTCCTTGACCTCTCAACCTTATACTCAGCTATGAAAAATCATCCACTTTCCTACCACAAGGACCATAGCTAGTGCCTCTGAATTCCTTTATAGGCTTCTCACCTTCAGCATCAAATTCAGTCCCATAGTTCTCATCTTCAAAACCCTACAAAAACTTAGTTCCCATCGGTCTCATCTTGTTTGGCTCCCTACTGTCTACATGACTGTCTTAACAAACCTTTTATTTCCTTCTCCCACTCTTGTCCACTGTTTCTCCTCCTCCACCTCTCCCAGAGTGTTTTATATGTTTTAGCTTTGGCTGCAAGCGCTTTGGGACAGGGAAACAGTCTTTCACTTGTATATAAATAAACACGCAGTATGTTTTGTATACATTAGCACTCAATTATGCCCCCGCCCCACCCCTTTTTTTAAATGGGCAAACCCTGGAGAGCTCCTGCAGCCAACAACAAAAAAAAACTTAGGTCCCATTCAGAGCATAACTACTCTGAACAGATCAGGTGATAGCAATGGAGACCTCACTCACAGTTGCCATTACATAACTCTCAGTTGCCGTTACATGGCAATATGTACATTGTGTGGTCTAATAAGCTCTGAACTCTTGCATTTAGCCCCATCCTACACAATACTTTGTATTTACCTATTGACTTTCATCAGAAAAATCTCAGTGTTTTAAAGAGGTGAGGTTTCTTAACTTTAAAATTTGCTCTGAGTTGCCTTGCTGTACTACATCAGATAATTGTAACGTTTTCTTTTATCACATATTTCCAGAATGATTAATAGAGGACAATCAAGTGGTAACAGATTGCCAAAATAATTAGTCTCTTTAAAATATGCTCTGGTAGCACATTTGTCTTAGAATGAATTACTTGTAATATTGTACATCTTATATAAAATTAAATCTGACAAATTAACCCTCTCTGTAAAATGTATGTGTACTTTGCTGGTTGCTGCAGTGATTTGGATTTAAATTCCAAATATATACATTTATTTTAGTGAGTGTGTGTGTAAAGTAAAAAATTGCTACACTTCCCTCTTCTGCAAGGATGCGTCTTTTGCTGGCTAGGATAAAGAGTGAAATGAAAATGGGCACTATTTTAAAAAATAGCACACACTAATGCATCAGAGCTCTAATTCATTACTTGTTCCCACTTTTTTACCAGCAATTGGTATTTAATGTTGATTCCACAACATAAAATCAGTTAAATCTGCAATTTTATCATGCAGAGCACATATGATTTACTTACTGTTTTCTGAGGCTTGGTCTACCAACATAACCACATCAGTCAGAGTGTAGGATGGGGAAATCCACACCCAACCGACATAACTATGCCAACCTAGCTGCATCTGCAGTGAGCGTTCTCAATGGAAAAAAGCTTCCATCAACATACCTAACTTCATTCAGGGAGGTGGCATTCCTACACCAATGGAAAACGTGCACCGATGGAAGGAGTTAATGTCTACAGTACAGCTAGCACAATCACCATAGCGTAGATAGAGCCTGAGATAATTAAACCCACTTGCAATGATTTTCATTATCAGGGTTTAATATAGGAGTAAGCCATAACTGTTTCTCAACTTAGAAAGCAGGAAAACCCGTATTAGCAAATTGTAGGGTTTGTCTTCACTAAAGTGTTTTTAAAAAAAAAAAAAAACAAAAAAACAAAAACCACTAGCTATCTCCAGGTAGTTAACACATTTGTACAGGCTAGTCTAGATACTCCAATTGTTTGTTCCAGAATGACTTCAAAAACTTTAAAAGTATACCATTTTAATCAAAAACTAGAAATTATTGCAACCTGGAACAATTAGTGAGTGTACAGATTAATCTTTACGAATGTGGGTGAGGTAATCTTTTATTGGACCAACTTCTGTACGTGGAAGAGACAAGCTTTCAAGCTTCTTCAGAAGCTCTATGAAGTTCAAAAGCTTGTCTCTTCCACCAACAGAAATTTGTCCAATAACTGATATTACCTCACCTGCCTTGTGTCATGTCCTAGGACTAACACAGCTAACTTTACAAAATGTGTTAGCCACCTTGAGATAATTTGCCAATTCACTCAAGTCAAAAACCCTACTGAAGACCTACCTTGCGTGAGTGAAGGTTGGAGAAAGGACTGGAAGATGGTTCTGAAGGCTACAACGTATACTTCTACTTCACTACGACATCCCTTTTTTATTTTCAGCAGAGTTGGCGCAAGATTTTTTTCTTCGTGTTTCAGTTGCTACTGCACTTTGGAGACGTGATAAGAGCAAAGTGTTTTTTTCTTATGTGTATGGGAAAACTACTCAATGCAATATGAAAATTTCATACCCATGTGCATATTTTCATCTTGCTTCATCTCACATCACCTCAGTACCCATTATCTAAAACCGTTTATTTTAATTCCTTTTTCATCATCTGACATTGCTCACCCTCATTCAGCATATAATCATTTGGCATCTGATACAATAGCATTTGTTTACCTAACTGCAGTCCTCATGTGGAATGCCATCTAGTGGCTTTATCTTGGAAGATACCAGCACTTACCATTTAAAAAAAACAAAAACAAAACCTTATTGTGGATCAGTAGCAATACTGCAAATAAATCCAGCGAAGCTCTGGAACCCATTAAAAATTTGAGGGAGTCTATTAAAAACCTCTCATTCACATAACCAAAAGATACTTTAACTTGGCGATAATCTTTTAAAATGAAAATTTTAGAACTTTATTACTCAAAATGTAAACATTCAGATATTTACAAAATATAAACTAGCAATTTTGTCCTGAAAACATCAATTGGTCAACTACTGTAACAGCTGTTTCCATTCAATTCAGCATAAATATAATTTTAGAAATATTTAGAAATTCTACAAATTTAGTAAATTAATAAAATATATATTTTGTTGTGTATTACAGTAGTTTCCCAAACACATACTTGGTGCTGGGAAAGTAGGAATACTTTCCCCACCCCCAGGAATATGCACTCTAAACAGATATGTCAAACATTTAAAAATATACAAGCAAAACATAGTGGGATGAAACTAACTAGACTTGTAGTAGTATCTTTGCCAGTATACTCTCCCCAACCATCTTCTCCTTACCATTTCTCCAGTATCCTAAACGTATACAACTTTAAGCTTGCTCTTGCCTGTATATTAGGTATTTGGATATCATTAGTTCCTCATAACAAAAAACAAAAAAAAAAGCATAGGTTAAATCCAAGTACTTATAACATGAAAATTCATAAGGAAAAGTCCACCACTATGAATGATGCATGACATTAAACTCCTAAAAGTCAAGTCCATATCCAACCATTAATACATTCTGAATATCCAAAATATATATTTATATTTACCTCTTGAATATCAAATCTAATTACAGTATAGAACAGTTGTACAATTTTGTCACTGAAAATACCACTCAGTAGCTGAAGCCCCATTTTCTTTTCTTTGTTTCCCCACAGGTTTATAGGTCAAAACGCTTATGCTATATTTACACAGGTTTGATTCAAATCAAATCCTGCCTAAAGGGTGAACAGCTATTCTTTTGTCACAAAAAGATAATCAGATTTAGACTCTTATATTGTATGATTTTCATTTAAAAGTTGTTGAAATTTTGTATGGAAAAGATGTTTTACATCTCATGTTGAAAATGCATGTAAAAAGTATTGGGCAACACCAAATGAACTGTTACTTCATAACCCACAGCCTCCTAGAATCCTCAGCATTCTGGAGCTCTTATTTTTGTAGGAATATCAACTCAAAGCAGGGTCCCAGTCAATGTCAGTTTACTGGTGTAATCTGATAATTTGCTTAAATTAGTACATGAAATATTTCACATATGCAGTTGCTACTCCTTACCTGAAAATACTTATATTGAAAATAATACAGTGCACAAGCTAGCCATGTAGACAATCCATTACTTTAGCTTTCAAGTCTAATAGCATTTATTCGTAATCAATTGCCACAGCAGGGATTCCAACCCTTTGTAATAATACTCTTCTAAACAGCAGTGCTAAAACTTCTCAGTTTATGTATTTTTTTAAAATGGGAATAAAACAAATAGCTTTTGCAAAACAAGGGTGGGGGGTGCATTGGGAAGAACAGTTTAATCAAGTGGCTTAGCAAGTGAAACATGCATACTGTGTACAGAGTTCTAGATTCACCATATCCTAAGCCACGCTGAAAATGCCTCTATCACTGACTTTTTCTTTGGGCTTGTTAATTATCCCCCGCAAGAGGTCAACTGCCTTAGTATATACCATTAAGGTGAAATAAGTTCCACATAACTACCCAATGTTTTCGGATCTTAGTTGTAGTCTTTGCTTATGTGAAGAACTGTTATCCAAAATTTGAAAAGTTTCAATTGGTCCCCTGGTTTTCCTGTATGCCACTCCTATCCCTTCAACATTCACATTTTAGAAAGCCTGTGGATCAGAACTGGGCACAGATTTCAAGTAAGTATTCACCAATGTTCATGTAGCAGTAAGAACAATTTTTTATGTACTTAATTGCACAGTGCATCCTGCTTGCTAACTTCATGGTATCTGCACAATGAACTGCAGATCAGAGTTCTCCTGCAACATTATTCAAGTCCCTAAATACAACAGTATTTAGTTAAGGAAATAGCCTCTCCGAAACTAGCTGTTTTACATATGACTGTACTGGCAGTCTATTAATCTAAATCTTTGATGCTCACTGTGACTTCTTCTGTATAAAACTGCATTGTTAGCTCACATACTGTTCCTCAGAGGCTATAGGTCACGTGCAAACTTGAAAGCATTACTTGGATCATGATACTGAATAAAATAGAATGAATAAAAATAGCCTCAGCTTTGATCGTTGTGATTTCTAACTGTTATACAGGGCATTTTCAATGTTGAACTCTACAGGTTTATTACGCACATTGAAATCTTTTCTTCACAAATGGCCTTACTCTATTCCCATTTAAGTCAACAGGAAAAACAATCCGGCCCAAACTCTCAATTATGAACGTCAAGGTCTTGTATCTGAAGGCTATATGTCAGTTTACAATCAACACAGCATTAGCTGAGTTATAGATGCATTTGCATACTCTAGGATTATCCCCAGTGATTCTCCAAGTCTCTAAATCCTTAAAAATTAACAGCACACTATCAAACAAAATTCACATGTGTGGAAGGGTAGTGGAACTTTAAGCTTAGTACTTTTTGTCTCCATTAGTTATATAACTTTGGTTGCAGACTTGTTTTTTATTATTTGCCTTTTCCCCAGAGTGACTTCCAAAACTTTACAAATTTCCAATTTAATCAAAAGTATCAAACGGACACAGAGTTTTATCTGTATTTATCTCACCATGGCTGATCATTAAGCATTTATGTAAAATCCAGTTCACCCCTTCCTCTTCTTGCCTTAGCCAGTTCAGTGTAGCCACAATCCAGAGTCTGAGACATGAAAATTGGCTTCCATGGTGATAAAATGTCAAGAAGTGGATCAGACAAGAAAAGAAGGGTAATTACACAGAAGAAAGTTTCTGTTTCTATTTAAATATATTTTTAATCAGCAAACTAGGAAAGAAAATAATCATATTGCCCAATAGCTTAACAAAGTTTTAGTAAAGCATTTTTGTAAGAAAGTCAGACAGGACCTTTAAATCCTGCTAAATGTAAATAGATATTGAGGCAAAACAAATCATATAAAAAAAGCTATTTTCTTTAAGTTAAAGACAAACAATTTTCAGTAACATGATATAATATTTAATTAAGTGTTTTTTTCGATTCTCAAATAGTTACAGACATAACGCTGACTATTATATTGGCCATCGCCATTGGTCAGTAGGAGGTTCTTCAACTAAAGGCTCCCATGGTTTCCACTGTACCATTTTTCTTGCCAGAGAGAGCTCACTTTCAGCCTGTCGATAAAAATATACAAGAGATTCTTAATTTTAATTATATTCTGAGATATTGATCTAAGTCTGATTAATCTATAATTGGAGAACATATTTTATGAATGTACAAGCTGTTCGAATAACAAAGTTCCATCTAGAATGCTTTGCAAGCAATTCAGCCATTGGGCCAATGGATCACAAAGCAAAGCCATAAATTCTATTCTCATATCTGAACAGTCAATGAAGCTCACTGTAATTATGATAGAGTTCAAATTTACAGGAGTAAGTAGAATGGCACTGCAGGTAAATTAAGAAAATGCAGAAATTTGCATTTCTACCTACCCTATACCTAAGGCCATACCAAATTCATGGTCAATTTCAGTCATAGGATTTTAAAAATTGTAAATTTCATTATTTTAAATATTTAAATCTCAGATTTCACCGTGTTGCAATTCTAGGGGTCCTGACCAAAAAAAGGAATTGTGGGGGGAGTCTCCAGGTTATTGGAGAGGGGTTGCAGTACTGCTACCCTTACTACTGCACTGCTGCTGGTGGCAGCACTGCCTTCAGGGCTGGGTGGCCAGAGAGCAGCGCCTGCTGGCCGGGCACCCAGCTCTGAAGGCAGAGCTGCTGCCACTAGCAGTGCAGAAGTAAGGACAGTATTGCCACCCTTACTACTGCACTGTTACTGGCGGGGCACTGTCTTCAGAGCTGGGTGCCCAGCCAAGAGCCACTGCCCTCTGGCTGCCCAGCTCTGAAGGTAGTATAGAAGTAAGGGTGGCAAAACCGCAACTCTCCCAAAATAATCTTGCGACCCCCCCCCCAACCTCTTTTTGGGTCAGGACCCCAATTTGAGAAATGCTGGTCTCCCCGTCAATCTGTGTAGTAGAAGGAAAAAGCACACAAAGACCAGATTTCACGGGGAAAGACCAGATTTCATGGTTTGTGATGCGTTTTTCATGGTGAATTTTGTAGGGCCCTAACTATAGCTATTGTACGAACATACTGCTCATGACATAACAAGAGTTCTCTATTTGGGACAGAGCCTCTACTTTAAATATCTAGAAGTTTGCAGATTAATAATTTGATTAGTTGAACACGAGTGAGAAAAAAACTGAATAAAAACAGAATAGCAGCAACCCAACTGCTCTTAAAGGCAAGCAGAAAACAAAAATGCTTATTTGTATTGCAGTAATTCCTAGGGGGCTCCAAGGTAGGTGCTATACAAACATAACAAAAAGATTCCTCTGTCTTGAAGAATTTACAGTCCATTTGTAAAAGGAGATTAATCAGATGTTGAATTAAGGCCAATTTACAACTAAATTAAAACAAATTGTAGAATTATATTATATAACCCCAAATAGCATGAATAAGATCATTCATTACAAACATACCTTTACCCTGGCAACCCAAGATCAGACTACTCAACACCCACTCCAAGTGACACTGCAGCAAATTGTTTCCCAAACTGTGGGTCAGGTCGCCTAAAAGGAGTTCAAGACCATTCCAAGGGCAGAAATGGTCTTAGCTCCATGTAATCACCAGAGCAACTCAACCCACATCTGTGGGGGGAAACAATTCACAGAGAAACTCCAGGCTCCAAGGGCTGCTCCGTCACCTTTCCTGTCTGACTGGCACCCAAAAGAGAAGGAGTCAGCAAAGATTCCATACTCCCAACCCCACTGCAAAAGTGCTTCCTAACTGAAGAGCAAAGAATGACCAACACCTCTTTTTAAACCACCCACCTTCCTGTCTTCCCTCCCTCCTCCATCATGATCATGCAGTCAGAGAACATAACAAGCAGGAAAAGTTGCTCAAGCACTACACTTCTCCTCTTTGGCCCACAGGAGTACTTGAGCACTAATATTGTTCCTCTAAGCCAAGCATGGATCCCTCTTAGGGTTCATATGTGGGTAGGACAGATACTCCTGGGGGAATTCTGTGCCACTGTGCATGCAGAATTTGTACATTGAGAGTGTTGAATTTCCCTTTTCTCCGCCACAGAAATGGGCTGCAGAACTGTTGCAAGTAGAAGATACTGCCGGGGTGGGGAGGAAGGAAGGAGGAGCTGGACAGTTCCTGGCAGCTGCAGTTCCCAGCATGCCCTGAAAGAAGGGGGTGACACACTAGCCCAGGACCCAGCATCAGGCTGTTTCTCCCTCTGGCTTCCCAGGCTCTGGGGATTAGGGTGTGCGGGTGTCTGGACTGGTGGGGGCCCACAGCGGGGCTCTGGGGGATGTGTACGAGTGTCTGGGTGGGATGTGCGCTGCAGCTGGGCTCTGGGGGTTTCTGGGCTGGGGGGCACCCCACAGAAAGGCTCTGGGAAAGGAGGGGACACGAGTGTCTGGGCTGGGGGGAGAACCATGGCTGGGCTCTGGGGGATGGGGGGGTCTCTGGCCCCCTGCTGGGCTCTAAGGGATTGGAGGGGGGGGGGGCAGAGAAACAGGATCTTCTTTAACTCTGTACTCCTGGGGGAATTTTTTGGGTGTCTGTATTCTTACAAACAGTTGCTGACAGGTATTTTGAAATAAATTACCAAAATACTTGAAACTGTCCTGATTATATAGTGTTATTTTGACAAAATATGTAGAATTTGTGTACAGAATTTTTAGGTGCAGAATTTCCCCAGGAGTAGACAGAAGAAATATGAAGAGGGGAGGAGAAGAGGGGAGGGGAAAAAAAATCCACAAGAATAAAGGAAGAAAGAAGTAGGAAACAGACTGAAGGGAACTGGCAGAGAAAGTTAGTGCAGGGGGATGGAAATCCTCAAAAATATAAAAAAGAGGACTGAAGTAAGACTAGACAAAAAGACATGTGAGAATAGAAAAAGTAGGTAGGCCCTCCACAGTTGAGCAACTTCAACTCACTAAGGTTGGAAACTACTCCTGGCATATATTATGCTGATAATGTCACAACCACCATAGAATCTGCTGGAGAACAGAGCCAACCTAACTGAATAATTGGGGTTGAGGGAGGTTAATTAAGCACTTATCTTTTATTACTGTATTGCCCACTTATTAAAAAATATATGCCATCAAGAGGATAACACTTTGGGACAAAAAATAATTTGTATAACTGTGTTCCACAGTTCAAAAACCTCACAACTTTCTTGACTCAAAACCTCCCGAACAACATATGCCATAATGTCATTAAGCAAGAACCGGTTATCTGCAGCTTCAGAGGACCAGAAGGTGAGGAGAGTTTTACAGTACACTGTTGCTAAACAGTCTTCTCATTCACTGTTTAGACATTCAGCACAACCCCGCAACGAGTTAATTTTTTAAAAATATATAGTTTCTAGTCACATTTATGATTGAAATCAATGTACTTTTCAGTTCCCATATAACACAAGCTGTCAGCAATTTTGATCTCAGAAACTGCTATTCTATAGTAGGATTTCCCACACTTGAAAGCAATATTTAGTCCTAAGTACACAATTCCAATCATTAGGAGTTCCGTCTGCAAATCTGAGAGCAAAATTCAACCATTAGCGCATACTTCCCATAAGATAAAGGACTCTGACCTTCACTAATGTAAGGTTTGTCAAATAAGTTGCAGTGCAAAGGATCGTTATTAGAGAAAGTAACTGAAAGAGTTCATGGAGGAACAGTATGTTAATGTGGGATCAGGGAAGTTTACTAGTTTTTCCTTTTAGTTGCATCATTTCTGCCTTAGGGTAAAAATCAGTCATCTTTACTATTCAGTACTTAATATCTGATGTTAAATATTAGGATCTGATTTTGCCATATCTTGAAGAAAAAAAAGTTCCTTCTTTTAGTTTTCTTGACCTTGCTTGAACCAAAGGCTGGTAGAAAGTGTCATTTTTATTCAGAGAGTTTAAGGCTAGAAGGACCACTAAATCATCTAGTGCAGGGATTGGCAACCTTTGGCACGCAGCCCATCAGGGAAAGCCGCTGGCAGACCAGGATGGTTTGTTTACCTGCAGTGTCTGCAGGTTCGGCCGATCGCAGCTCCCACTGGCCGTGGTTCATTGCTCCAGGCCAATGGGGGCTGCGGGAAGTGGTGGCCAGCACATACCTCGACCCATGCCGCTTCCCGTAGCCCTCATTGGCCTGGAGCGGCAAGCCGCAGCCAGTGGGACCTGCGATCGGCGGAACCTGCAGATGCTGCAGGTAAACAAACCGCCCAAGCCTGCCAGCGGCTTTCCTTGATGGGCCACGTACCAAAGGCTGCCGATCCCTGATCTAGTCTGACCTCCTGCATGACACAGCCTATTAATTCACCCAGTTATCCCCAAACTGTGCTCAATAGTTTGTGTCTGGCTAAAGACTATTTCCCAGAAAGGCATCCAGCCTTGATTTGAAAACATCAAAAGATGGAGAATCTATTACTTTCTTTGGTGGCTGCCTTCAGTGGTTAGTCATATGTAGTCTTCTTGTAGAGACCATCCTCACAGTTACAAGGGCTAATACAGTACATGGACTGAATCTTAAATAGCTAAAAGTACTTTTTACTTCCATGCACATATGGATCAGGCAAAGCACATTCACTTCCTTCTGTGATGAAAATAATGTCTGTTTAGAAAAGGCATGCTGCTATTATATATTTAATATACTGTTAATGCTCGTCATTTCTCTTTTCACAGAAGAGCAAAGAAAGCACTCATATCTAGTTGTTGCCTTTCAGCAAAGGCATTTTTAAACAATATTCAACTTTACCTGTATTATCACTTCTTCTATCTGACCACTTTTCATTTTGTCTTCTAGTTTTTCCACATTAGGTTCCTGTGAATTCAGGTAATTTAAAATATCAAGTGCAGAACTTAAAGACATAACTTAAAATAGATCATACAGTGTCCAATTCTTCCTAAATGTAACCACTCAGATGAGTTAGCTTCAAGGTGACCTATTTTACACTACAGGAATACATGATTTCCTGCTATAAGCAATGTCTCACTGACAATATAAAGACAGTCAAATACCCCCCAAAAGTTATTTTACTACAATTCAGATGTACAGAGAAGCAAAAATAGCATTCTGTTGTACCGCAGATTGTCGACGGAAAGTGGGATCATAGCTTTCTGGAGAAATAAGATATTCATCCTTTCAACAAGTCACTGTAGTCAAACAAAAGCAAGACTGCAACACTAGAACGAGCTATTTGACCCTACCCAATGGAAAAAGTGGTTGTTCCAAAAATGTTGAACAGCAAGAGCTAAAATAGTGCATTTGGTAAAAGAGTGAGTGAGTGTAAATAAAATAAAATACCTGGAAGTCTGCTATTCTGCAAATCTTCAGATAACTACTTTCTATTTCTATTTTTAGCAGAAATCAGTGATAAGACACCATTGCTATTTTCTAGTTAAATACACAAAAGAGTAGTAGTTTATGTAATCAGAAACAGTATGTGACCGTGATCATCTCCCTGAAACAGATAACTTCTATATGTTCTTTGAAGATAAACTGAGATTTTGAGAATACTATAGTCTTTGCTGTACAAACTTTGCATATAAAATATTTACAAGTAGTGCTATACTTACTGTTTTTACCATGTTAAACCGCTCATTTACAATCTGTTCAGTGTATTTCCTATATGCTGCATCTTTGGGGATGTCCTGCAGAGCAGCGAGAATTTTTGTATACAGTATCCTCAGGTGCTGAAATGATTGGAAGAAAGGTGCAAGTGTGTAAATAGTAAATGACTGTTAACAGAAATATTTAAATAATTTACGAGCCCACAAAGTAAAATATAGAGAACTGCAGCATTCAAATTCACACTGGCTATACCAATAAAGTAGCTGGGTTTGAGTGCAGGATTCTGACCTGGGTTTGGGCCAGGATGCATTTCAATTCGGGGTTCCAGTTTGGACTCAACTGTAGAGTATAAAACTACCTTGCTAATCTTCTTGACTTTCTTCATGAACTGTGCTGTGAATGTTTTAATTTGTTCTCAAGATTTGGCCTTTAATCTATCTCAGAGATGTTAATCGGCACAAAGCCTTAAAGAAAAAAAAAAAAAGGCAAATCATCAAAGCCAAAAGATATAGCCACTTCCCCCCTCCCCCCAGAGTACACTAAAAAGGGCACCTGTTACCCCTGCCAAGAGTAGAATGATTTCATTTACATTCATCAGTAGAAAAGTCTGTGGATTTGGATAAACACTCTCAGCATGTTTTTAAGAAACTTCACGGGTTAGGAAAAACTTCGCAGCAGTTGGGAAACAGATGAGATTGGGCTGTAGTAGAAGGTGGATAGTGGAACCAACAGGGTAATTTCTGAGTGGAAGGAATAGGAGTGGGAAACTGGAGGTAAGGGCAAGGAGCAGAAGCAGGATTATACAGACAACAGCAGGAAAAGAGAAGGAAAACAGTGTGTTAAGACCAAGGGGTTAATATAAGCCCTGATGAGTTTATGACTCAAATTGTTATAAATTAAAATCTGAAATAAATTTACGCTCCTAGAAGTTGTCAGACAGCCCTGTAGATATGGCTCTTTATCTGTAAGAGTTAGTTTTATACTCCTGTTAGTTTTATACTCCAAGCAACACAAGCAGTGGCACTGGCATGATCTCTCCCTAGTGGGATTATTGTGTAGTCTGAAAATTTCAATGTTTCAGAGAAAGATATGGGATTGCTGTGATATTAAACAATCAAAGAATTCTTTCAAATTCGGTAGTGGAAAAATATCATAAGTCAGAGTGGCCCCCAAACTTTTACCTTGTGCCCCCTCTTATCCCTGCCTGTCCCCCGCCCGCAGCCAGGAGCGGAGCTGCTGCTGCTGCTTCGGGGGGGGGGGAGAGAAACGCAGACGGGTAAGGGGGCCAAGGCTGAGGCCACAGCTGGGGGAGGCCAAGGGCACGGGGGCAGGCTGGGGGTCCCGGGCAGGGCCAGGAGCAGAGCTGGCAGCTGGGGGCCAGAAGCAGAGTTGAGTGTTGCTCTTTCCCCACCCCCTTCATGGGAGATGGCGTGGGCCTCAGCACCGCCCCAGGGGGGCCTATCCCTCACAGTGGGGGCCTTTGTCCTAGATGAACTAGCAAGCTACTTCCTTTGGAGTGCCAGTGAGAATTATCAAGAGATGTATTCTTTGTATTACAGTAATGCCTACGAGCTACAGTCTTGAGTCAAGGCCCCACTGCACTGGGCACTATACAAACATAACAAAATGTGGGTCCCTGCTCGAAAGAGTTTACAATCTAGACACCGCTCCTGCCCCGCAGATCAGGTATTAAATATTACAGTAAGATCAGTATCGAGCTGCAGAATCTATTATTTGATCTGGGAAAATTTATGTATGTAGAATAATAATTACATTTACAATCCCCCAAACCTAAATAGTTGCACTCCATCTGGTAAGTTACACAGTTCTTTTCACCATTTTAGGGCTCTACAAAGAAAAATATTACTACTTCATGTTTGCTCAGAAAAAGGCCTTACTGTAAGTGATTTTGGAAATTAATTGTTTCTAAGAAGCAACTACCAAGTTAAATTTTTATATTTATAGGACAAAAAACATCTGCAAAAGATCTGCCTTTTTTATTTGTAAAAGAAAACCTTTCCAGACCATAGCCAATATTCTCCATCAAACAAAGTTTTGGAGCTGGTCAAATTTTGCATTTCAAATAACTGTTCTCGCTGTAAGACCATAAGATACTTAAAATATACACATAAGTCAAGCAAAACAAGTGAATACTCTGATTTTCAGTCCATTTCAACTAGATATACTTGAAACATACCTCGTGAGGCGTCTCAGCTACAGCTAGTCCCACGAGCCCAGTGGTCTGCACAAACAGAACACATTTAGTAAGTGAAAGCATTTATTTCAAGTCTTTTTGTAATACACACTATTGACTCATAACTTCAGCTGAACGGAAGCACATCATGGGAATTACAAAATGTGGAGTTAAGGATTAAAAAAAACAAAAAACCACGCATATCCTGGGAGCTGCAGGCCAAGATGCTCCATCTCCCTTTGCTGAGGGCTTGTCTTCACTTACAGCGCAGCAGCTGCACTTCTCCCATCCGCATACTTAATCCACCACCCCAAGAGGTGGTAGCGATGTCGATGGGAGACGCTCTCCTGCCAACATAGCGCTGTCTACATAAGGGATTAGTTCAGTATAACTATGTCACCCAAAATCCACGTCCCTGAGCAACATAATGATCCCGGACTAGGCCAGGTCTGTAGCGCAGACCTGGCCAGCACCGCGACGGGGGCACTACAAACACGCGGAGAAGGGGGGGGGAGCTCACGTTAAGCAGTGTGTAGAATTAACGCTTTCTTTCCCGGCTCTCAGACTGGCTGTTTCTCTGTTTTGCTCCCAAAGCAAAACGAGCAGCCAGCACCCGCGGAGCTGTCAGCGTCGGGGACTGTCCCTGCGAAGGGCCCTTGCCAGCGCTGGCTGCTCGGCGCGTCCCGAGGATCCTTGGCTCCAATCGGAAGCGGAGGGGGGAAGAGTTTCACCAGGCCCACCACCATCAGCCCCCGCCGGCCGCCAGGCCTGCCCTTGCCCAGGCAGGCACCGCCGCGCGGGAGATGGGCGCAGCCCCTAGGCTTGGGCGGGGAGAAGCCGCCCCGCAGCAGCCCCGGGGGACCGGCCATGCGCCCAGCCCTACGGGAGGGGAATCGTCAGGGACCCGGGCGTGGCGGTGCAGGAGAAGCCCACGACCCGGGCCCTCACCTTCTTCAGCGCCCCGGCCATGGCTGCGGCCAAGCAGTACACCTCTGACACCAACCGCCCGGGACGGACCAAAAACGCGCATGCGCCTCGTGATGTCTTTGGCCTGTTGGTTAGAGGACAAGCCGGTGGAAGCTGAAAGCCGCATGCGCCAAAAAGGCCGGGCCTGAGACCGAGGCTGTGGGAGTTCTGCGTCTGAGTGCGCGTGCGTATGCGGCACGGTAATCGCATGCGCCGTTTCTGAGTGAGGCGGGCCTGCGAATGGAGGATTGGAGAGCATGGGGAATGCGCATGCTCTCGGCGCAGAGTCAGTAACAAAATGAACTTGCGCTACCTGCGCTCAGCGGCCGAGGCCATGAGTGGCCTATACAGCGCTGCGCCTGTGTCTGGCGCCCTCTGGCGGATGGAGGGGGAGTCACAGCGGCAGGAGGGCTGTCCGGCCGCACGCGAAATGACGCTATTTAGGTGTCACGAAGCGAGAATGGGGCCTGCTGGGGGGGCTCTGGAGCGAGCCGGCTTGTGTCAGCCCTGGACACGCCGCGTGATGGGGATCTCAGCCCCAGCACCACGGACACGCCCACAGCCCCGTGAACACACTGAATGCATGGGATGAAGTGAGCTGTAGCTCACGAAAGCTCATGCTCAAATAAATTGGTTAGTCTCTAAGGTGCCACAAGTCCTCCTTTTCTTTTTGCGGATACAGACTAACACGGCTGCTACTCTGAAACCTGCAGGGCAGGGGGTCTCCACTTGCCCCATCGCCAGCGGCGTGCCAGTGACACTGACAATCCCCGTGCCAGCGAGAGACAAGCGATGATGTGGTTCTGTAAGCGGCCGCTCCGCTGTGTCCCTGCCACCAGTCACTGGGGCCCTACGGAAGTGCTTCTAGTACTGTGTTTCCAGGGCTGTCAGCGGCGGACGCTCAAAGGAGGGCTCTTCCCTTGGGATGCTCCTTGACCTGTGCCACTGGAGTCTGGGGCTGTCCATAATTTATATAACACACTTTTGGTGATTTTCAAGACTCACCCTTTGTAACACTGAAACAAACATGGAAAATTATGGAACCCCCTCGAATGCAATACATAATTTTTGGTGAACACCAGAACTGCCTTCCAAGCTAGGGTAACCATATGTCCCAATTTTATAGGGACAGTCCTGATTTTGGGGTCTTTTTCTTATGTAGGCTCCTATTAACCCCCCCCCGTCCCAATTTTTCACATTTGCTGTCTGATCACCCTATTCCAAGCTCTCTCTGTTGTGATGACTGAATATGTCGGGCTAGTTCTTGGTCCCAATAAAGTCAAAGAGGGTTTTCCCACTGACTTCCGTGAGATCCGAGCCAAGCTCTTAGGACCTGATCCAAAAGCCTTTGCAACCAATGGGTGGTTTTCTTTTACTTGGATAAGGCCTTGAGGGTGATAGGGTTGTGTGTTTATGGCAGGTGCATTCTCTGTGCAAGATGGGACATTAATAACATTTTATGTCTCTGAAAAGTGTTTTATATGTTTTTTGGAAGCACTTAGTGATACCTACAGTTTGATAGTTATCATATTAGCTAATGAATCAAAGCATTATTTACATACATTTGGAATACATCAAAATGCACTGCTGAGAACATGGAAAAGAATTGTTTAAGATTTGGGGTCCAGAATGACACTGCAGGGATCCCTGCTTCAATTATTTTGATGTAAATAGTGTTGGTAACAAGTTCAAATCAGTTATTTCTGGATTAGATATCTTGATACTGGGCCCAAAACAGCCTCCCTAGATCTGAAAACGATCCTATATGGGTATTTTTGTGCAGGACTGAGCTATGCCACTATAAATTTGTTTACTAAGGACAGACGGAGAAAAACAGCTAACTTTGCTTCCTCACTTAACTAACTCACTACTCATTTCATCCATTCATTATGCGTCACTCTATTTTTCATAGTATATCTGAATATAATTTTGCAGTGCTGCCCAACTACATGAAAGCTGGCCTAGCTTCTACATGGGAGCTGTTTAAGAAACTTCAACATGGAAACACTGGGAATGTCTCATGTTTTAGCTGCTTCTATGAACTTCTCTATAATGCTACTGTAGGTAAGGTGGAAATTCATATGTTCGGCCACATTCCCGACTTTCTGACTCATTTTGCACAATAGTCATCCAGCATTAACGGAACAAATTGATTTTTACATTACAGGACTGTAAATACATAAAGTCTAGCAAGTGAGTAAAGTACCTGCAATAATCATCTACCAGTACTTTAAAAAGCCTCTAGATTATAATTTATCTGTTGTCTCAATAATGAGTTATCTGTGTTGACTATCTTATACATTCTCAATGCACAATAAATTAACACCATCATAAGGAGGCCTGAGCATAGCCTTTCTGTTGTGAATTGACCCCAAGATGTAAATTCTTACAAACTATCTCAATTTATCCATATTTGCCAATGCAGGATTCTGGCTGAGATTCTGATTTCACTTATACTGGTATTAAATCCAACGAAATTAAATTAACTTTAATGAAATTACTGCTGATTTAAACCATTGTGAAATCAGACTCAGACCCCAGGTGTGTACATAAACTGCAAAACCGGATGTAGTTTTTCAATTTAAAAGAGAAAAAAGTCTGCATTATCCTTGTATTATGCATATGTACTAGTGCTGGTCATGGGGTTATGGTTATGTGACAAGAAGGGAATTAGTGGATTCAGGGGTCAGCAACAATAAGAACATGTCTGTGTTCTCAAATGAGAAATTTTTTTCCCTTACTATCAGCTTGTTCTAAGCCCACTGTAGGGAAGGTTCTCTGCACTAGTCCTGTCCATCATACTGAATGGTGTCTCTGGAACCTCACCACACTTGGTCAAGTAACATGGGCAAGGTATGTCACTGTGAACAAAATTTATTATTATTAGTTTATGTATATTGCAGTAGTGCCCGGAGTCCCTGTTTAGAATGGGGACCCCATTGTTCTTTATACCGTACAAACACATATGAAGATGGGGCAATGGAGCTATGACAATTTGTCTCACCCTCATTTTACAATCTAATAAAATTCATTTGATTAGAGTGGTTAAAGGAAAGGCAGAGATACGGTCCTTAGCCTGTGGTCTAATCTGGGATGAATTTAGTTTAGTCACTTGTGCCTCAATAACTATAGCTGGATACATGGATAATAAAATAACCAGGATTTAACTCAATCTGCATCTGAGCTGTGTTTTTGTAGGTAAATAAATTAAGTGGAGAAAAAATCCAGTTTGCCACTCACCCTGTGGCTGTGGTTTAACTTGCTAGATACTAATATCCTTGATGGCATTACTCAGAGCTTCTTGGTCAGACTTGTCAGCATTGACTATGATGCTGTGTCTCCAGCTTCTGTTTTAAAATGGAAATTATTAAAAGACTAGGATTGGCTATCATGGAATCTGTAAATCTTGGCATCACATCAGGCTCACCATGTCTACAAAAGTTTGAATAAGTGAGAGATTGGGAGCTATTTTGTGGCACATAGCGATGTGACAAGATCTGTCACTGTAGAAGACTAAATATTTGTACAACAGCTAAACCTTTCTTGGTTTTATTTCTTTTTAACTATATGTATATATGTTAGTAAATTTTGTTAATACAGCTAGTGAGTCTAAGTTGGCAGATCATTTATTTTCTTAACAAGAGCTGTTTGAACCAATCAAGCACAGATAATCTTATTATACCAGTCAGACCTCATGTTACTTTTGATGAGATTCTAGAGAAGTCGTGCATAATACTTTCCTGTGGGGTGGAGTCTGATTATGTTACAGTTGTACGAGGTCAGACCTTAATTTAACTCCCAACTGCGTATTTAATTTTAGAAAAAGCACAAGACACACCACCGTGCAGGGTACTATTCCTGTCTGTTCAAAATACAGGCCCCAGAGTAACAATGACAAGATGATGGATTGAAAAGGTGAGAATATGATATGTTTTATCTGTATCTTGCCAATTAGCCTAATGGTGAAGTAGATTAAAACTGTGAATAATGTGTAACAGAGTGAATCCAGTTTTAAACTGCTATTAATTCCTGTATTGCTGTGAATAACCTCTTCAGGCTGGGGTACCTAAAGGCCTTCCAGTTATAGAGAACAAAGTTAGGACTGCTTAGTTTATTTCAAAAATGTGAAATCAGATTAGTACGTCTCATTCGCATGCACTAAACATCTGCCTGATATGCTTAATAGTAATAAATCCTTGACACATCTGTTTCTAAGCAAAGACTCAGTTTCCATGATTTGTGAGTATTTCAAATCTTTTGGACTGAAAGAGAGTGGCTTAAAGTGGAACAAATTCTTTTCTATGAAAAATGATCCTTCCGGTTTAGAATGCATAAAAGCTCAAAAATTTAAAAATCTACAGTAATCAGTAGTTTCTTGGGAACTTGTTTTTTCAGGATAAAATAAAAACAAAACAATTTGGTCTATTAAAAAAATCTGGAAAATATTCTTGATCTTATGAGACCACTGTGTCCGTGCCTGAACAGTAGAATTTTCTCGAAAAAGCAACTGTCTCATCTAGCAATGAGCTTGGTCTGAAAAATGGAGAACAAATTTTCCATGGGTGAAGGAAAGGGAATTTGCCACTGCATCTTTTAACGGCCTCTTTGCTACTTTATGTACAAGTGTATCAGACAAAATATGCTTTTCGTGTGGCCTAATGTACCAGTGTTCTGCCATATTCCATTGTGATCCTAGTGCAACGTTCACATTTCATCAGATCGTCATTACCTCAACACAGCATCGGACCAGCAGTGATATAGCAAGTCAAGCACCCAAAGCATTTATAAACCTCCATCAATGTCCACCATATGCACTTTGGTGAGTTATTTACTTTATCGTACTTGTTCTACCATGTCACAGCTCTTAGCCACTGTATTAGCTTTTTCCCTTTTATGATTAATTATCATCATTGCAATCTCATACAGGATAAGTGGTAATGTTTAGAAAGACACTCTGGAGAAAATATATACCAAAACCACCACGTACCTGACCCCACATCGGCTGAGTCTGTGCTCCAGCAGAATTCTGTGGTGACTGTGACCTAGTGAATTCTGAGAAATCACAGCAGAAGAGGAGTCTATTGTCCAAGCAGGTATTGACCTTGTGGGTCTAGAAAGAAAAAAATTATAATTTTATAATAATTTTAAGTGCCCGCTTAGCTT